AAAGGATCAACATTTGCCCAAGGTGGCAATTTACAAACTGTCTGGAATGGTCATGATTGCGATGAATATCGTCATCATCATGATGACCATAATGTTCAGCACAGAAAGGCAGATCTCGCAATGTAAGAGCACGATGAGAATAATGTGCGAACACTTTCTCAAACGGCAGCCTCTCTTCATCACCATGTGCGCCTTGTCAAACGTTGAGCGATGCTTTGACAAAAGTCACGCTCAAATGTCATAGGGAATATCCCGTGTTTGGATTGACAGTGATTCCTTGAGATACATGCGTGAACTTTGAAGTCGTTGTTTATTATTAGAGTCAGCACAGCAAGGAGAAAGTGCAATGCTTGCTCATTAAGCATTCAGCCCTGCAAATAAGGAGGCAGTCCTGGTTAACCCAATGGCGGATTGCGTTTTTACTTTTTAAATAAGAACTGTACTTTCATAATTACATACAACACTGTGGCATGCTGCTGTGGTGTAATAATGAGATACTCTGGAGTCGCGATCCAGAAGTTGCCGGTTCGATCTGGCTGCGCAACTGGCTAAATGGGGTTCATTTTTGTGCAAGGAATTCAATTGATCTCCGAGCATGGCAGCTGAAACAGGGGGCATGTTACTTAAATACTTTCCCAGCAGTACGCGTAGACTCGCTAGTTGATTGGTAGTATGCCACCTGAGTTTGGGTAAAGTGTGAGTATTGCCATCTCTTCCAAGACATCTGGCTAGAATGGAAGAGGAGGCCAACATATCCTCGAGAGGCAAACTCTATAGCTACCTCTAGTGGAGGCCTTTCCTCCAGCAGTTACATCCGCAAATAAATTGCAGGGTTGCTCCTTATCTTGCCACACTGCGTTGCAATTCAGAAAAAAAAGCTATGACTCATTGCTTTAAAAAAAAACACGTCCTATTGAAATGATAATTAGAAGTTATCAAACTAAATTGGCATGTAAAAAAGGTGCACTGTCACAAGAACGGTTTGATTAAAGTTAAAGTATAAATGTTCCCCGCTATATGAAGTCATCCGTGGTTAAGAGCTGCCTTTCTCACCCTGGCTGGCAGGAGAGGCAGGTGGTGCCCGACTTCATTCTGCTGGAACGGCAGTGTCGTCCAAACCAAACAGCAGCTCTTGTGCGGTGCACTAGCGAACTGCACAGTCACGCTTTGCGCTGTTATAGTCAATGTCGAGCACCCAGTTCCCACCATTGCAAGCAATGAGTTGTTTTAACCCGTTGAGTAATTGGCCTCAAATATATTCGTCGCTAATATACATTTTCTCACGTACCTCCCCCCCCCCCCCCTCTTTTTTGTTTAACGTTTAAAAAAATGAAATTTTCGTATGTATGACATTTATTTTTCAGCGGAGGGGAGCAGCGGTGCAGGGGATGGCGTGCTGCACTGTTAGCACGGAGACCTGAGTTTGATTCCTGGCCATGGGTAACACCAGCGGCGAGCGGCATCTGATCCAGTCCACGGACCTCGACCCACGGACGTTCACCAAACCCAAACTGACCAGCGTGGTGATATGCCATCAAAGCATCTCCAAAATCAACGCCATGCGGGAAAGCCTTCATACAGCAGTGGGCAGGAAAGGGCTTCGAATCATATAACTTTATTATTATGTTAATGGTTTACAATCTAATTATAGAGAGAGAGTTTGGGATTTAAAGTTGAATTACGTTAACACGTTGAGCCTGCCGTCACCGATCTCAACAAATATTACGCAACCGTTTGCAAAGAATAACACTGCGCTGCCCAGGGTGTGTCTTCATCGCCGTGCTGATTCCTGTAAAGGAGAACCAACGCTCTCGCTTTAATGTGGCTCACATGTTGGTGAGCGTCCGTGCTGTGAGCTGAGAACACGTGTGTGGCTCTGAATTCAAAGGTTTGCGTTGAAAAAGAAATGTTTGAGTCACGGAACCTGGAACGAAATGTCAGGGATTAAATGGAACACCTGGTAAATATGAGCGAGCGAGAGAGAGAGGATGCATGTGTTTCTTATTAGCCTGCACGTTCAGCTCATAGCAATGCAAAGTCGATCAAAGAAACCAGTCTTTCTCTTCTCGCAAGCAGAAGCACTGCGATTTAAACAGTTGCATTTTTATAAAAGCACCCGATTTTATTTTTCTGTTCTTTATTTTTTAGTGCTCGGTATTCTACGCATTATATTGATTTGTGGTAAGTATTGATCAATAATAGTGCAATGTATTTATGTTTTTATATGCAGAGATCAGTAATGTCTTTGGAGCATCAAAGAGCGTATGCACGTTGCATGAAAAGAAAGTTGATATTTATAACATAACTCAAAATGTAAAAAGTGCAAGATGATCATACTATAATACAAATTACATTGTTATTACAAAGCAAAGACGGTGCCTTTCTTAAGTTCTCCCAAGAGAACTTCAACCAATAAAAAAAAACATGTGCTAAATTAACATGGTTGTATGTTTTAAGGTTCATACTTTAAGATAACCGCAGTGGTGTAATGTGTATTATTTAATCTAAACCAGTCCACTCGTATCCATTCCCTGAGCTGCAAGGTTCTTAAGTGCTCTGTCGATTAGGCCCTTGAACACTGGACCCCCTACTCAATAATTTACACGTTTCTGGTAGGGTGAGCAGGGAGAAATTCTAACCATATACATATATATCGTGTATAATGATGGCATGTCTTGATTCTTGGTAGGCGATGCTCGGATATGGAAAACGACCAACTGCATTCGTTTTGTATTAAATTCATATCCATTCACAATGCCTCATGTAGCTAGTTAGGATACCACTGAGATTCCTTCCATTTGATGAAATGGAAAAAAGATAGTGCGTATCGTGGAGTCATGCCGATGATAAATTACGGTACTGTACCGTGGCTTGGGATTTCGTTCACAGCCAAGTTAGAAACAAAGAGATCTTTAGTCGATTGAGACGCAACACTGTATTCATGTTTCATGTTACAACTTTGAATCTGACAATAGGGGTTTTACCCTTTTTCTGGCAACAAAACTGAAACCTTTTTACAAGGAATCATGTCTGCATTAACCACAATACTTGTGGTCAGAATGCAAACAAAAACACACTGATAATATATGCATTGTCCTTGAAACTGATTGGTCCACACCAGAGACAGCTTTCTTTTGAGCCTCGTCTCAAACGGTGCTAGACCAGAGGACGCCAAAAGGCGTACAGCTCAAAGACAATGCACTATCAGAGTAATGAGAGCTCGGGGTAAATATCTACATCATTTGACCTCCTTTTCCAGGACCGAAATATGAGAATAGGGTTTCTCCCCTTTTTTCTGGCAACAAAACTGAACCCTTTTTACAAGGAATCATGTCTGCATTAACTTTGTATTACGTGATAACATAGAATAATTTACAGCTCTTTGTCAGCCCACGACTGGGTGTGGCGGTTGTTTGATGAGGCTTCGCCACGTAGGGCTCGTGTGGGTGTGGTGAGGTGTGGATGCGGGACCGGTTCGGACATCGTTCGCCTTGCCGTTTGCCGTGGCTGGGAATCAACCAATTTCACAGCACAGTGCGCTAACCACTGTGCCGCCACTCCACCCACTGAATTGTACGAATTATTAAAAGAAAGATACAATGTTGCGGGTACTGTAGGTGTTATTAATGAGTGTCAATTTAGCTATGGGTCCTGTGTGAATTTCCACGACGATAGGTTTGATTGAAAGTTATTGCTGCCAATGAGCATGGCTGGCTACGTACGGTGCGAAATAAGTTCAACGTACATAGATACAATCAGAAAATGTTGTTATACCAAGGGCCATACTGCGCCTCAGGGTATTGAGTTGCAGCGAGAGAGTATGGCCTGGAACCTGTATTCGTTGATTGGATCCTGTGAAGATGTGTACATGTGGAGCTCTTTGTGAACCCACTGCTGGATGAGGGCCTCCTCCCTCATGCCGTGCGGGTCGTGGGGGATTATTTGACCAAACTTTTGCGCGGTGGTTGAGTTGCACTGTGAAGGCGGGGCATGTGAACGTGAGAGCATTGTACGTGCAGTACAATAGTGGATTTTGCTGCAGTGCCATCGGTTACTCACCACGTAGACACTTGTTAGAATAGTGTGCGGTCTGTGGAGAAAATATTAGGACACTGAGTCACTTCCAGTAACACCGTCAGTCCATCGGATTCCTTAAGTAAAACCACCAGTTCTGACGCTTCTATTCTGCTTATTCACCTGGGTGGTCTGGTGTAGGGTTGTTCTACTGGTACATATTATTTACCTGAATGTTTGACATTTACCTTTCAAGCAACAGTTACAACATTTACTCTCAACCTCTTCCAAGTTATAAAAAAAGCAGAAAATGTTTAATTTTTTTTATTTTCTTCAGATACTGATTTTCCCATTATATACCGTACAAACACTTGCAGTGTGCCTGAGCAATGGCAAACGCCGGGACAGTGTTAGATAAATGACACTTTATTTATGTTAGATAAATGACACTTTATTTAACGGGTGCCTTTTATGACTTTCAGACTTCCTTTCCGAGCCCCCCCCCCCACCACTCCCTAGCAACGTTTCCTTTGATGTGTTTTCTCATAGGCGACCTCCCCCCCATGCACGCACCCACCCAGCCACCCAGCCAACCCCGTCTGCTCGTCACGAGCGCGTGCTCGGAGACAGACGTGGGCCCAGGTGCCGAAGGAGGAGGGTGCGTGCCCTCACGGCGGCGGCGTGGCACGCCAAAGGGCCGCCGCGCTCTTCCCCTTCAATAAACAACGAGGCCCCCCCCCACCCCGGCCCTGCGTGGAAAAGCCCACGGGGCGTGACCGATCGGCCGCAGACGGGCGCACCTGGTTTGATGGCAAAGCCCTCGCAAAACGAAACCCAAATTCCCAACCACGCCGCCCACATCCGGACACGCGAATTAAGCGGTGACGTTGCCGAGCAGTCGCGTTTGACTCAATTATAGTGCATTATTGTTATTATATACAGTATGTGTGTGTGTAATAACCGCCACGACGGCTTGCAACGCCATGGGGAGGCCTTCATCCAGCAGTGGATTAACAAAAGGGATCTACCTGCACACGAACAACTGCAGGGCGTGTGTTTTGACTGGTAATAAGAGTGGGAATCTTTCGACAAAATTAGACCATATTAAGCCTCAATTTGTTTTGTTAGACACTTGCTGGGATTTGCCGATGGACAGGGCAATAGGAGTGTGACATTTTCATAAATTTCTCTGGGCCGAAAACAGAAATGAGCTTCGCTCGAGTTTTACTTCAGCAAGGCGACAGTTTTACCTGAATTACGGTCAGCGTTGGGATAATTTGGCTATAAGACTTCAAAGGCTTTATTATCATTATTGGGTAACGTACAAAGTTCAGGATCTATTTGTGTAAACGGTGATAAAAACGAGTCTTTGTCTTACTTCCCAATGAGGCATTGAGTAAATGCCCAAATACCCTCATTGTAAGAAAGTTAAAATTAATTCCAACAATTGTGCTCTGTACTCTGTTCCTGTTGGTTTCATCATCAATTCAACGTGACATCAGTAATTGTACTTTGATAATATGACCCCTTTTTTTGTTCGTCCTGTAATTGCGCTGCAGCAGCAGCAGCAAAATTAGTCTCAGAATCAGAATCGGTGACACATTTTTTTTTCGTGCATCAGGCAGCCCTCTGTTTTTCAACACTGAGTCACATTTGACCTCGGAGATACTTTTTTTGCCGTGTGCACAAAGTGCACATGCAATGCACATCAAACAGAGTTAGAATCAAAGCAAAGTGGATCACGGTGTAACCCTCCACGCCACTCTGCGCACATGCAGCTTCGCAGGGCTGATGAGCATGAAAGTCATATTTCATGGTGCAGCATTGTCAAAGAATACGACGGTAACGATGACGATGATACACTTTGACGCATATTATCCAATTGCTAAATAAATCAAGCACACACACAGCGTAGATACAATCGTGTTTGCATTAATAATGTGGCACAGCACATACACTTGTGAATTAATGAATTGTTTCCTAAACTAATCTTGGACTCCTGGTACCATGTGCTGTCCCTGCAGAGGTTGAAACCTTAGTACTCGCTAGAATACAGCTTGTCCAAAACTTCCAAAACTCAACATGTTCGTCAATAACGCTGCCTTAAAGGGAGAACATATATAATAAGAGACGTTTCAGGCAATGGCTCCTCTTCATAACACATCACGTGGACATTATATAAAAAAGCGCCATTGCCCGTGACATCGCTGATTATATTATTTTAAAGACAGTTACTGACAAAAATGTGAGTGTTTTGTGTGATTTGGGCTTGTGCACCACTCCCAGTGCAGTTTCCCCCCCAAACAATTGGCAAATATCCGATGCTGTCAATGGAGATTGTCACCACTGGCTCAGTGTTGCCATCAAAGGACACGCACCACCCATGCTTGTTCTTAAGTAGACAGATAATCACATTTTTAATTTACCATACAGTGTGTGTGTATATATATACATACATTATATATACGTTATATATACATCTTTGGAGCACAATTGTTTCTCAAATAATGTTTTGGTCTACCATGCAAATGGTATCATTCAGCATTCCAACTGTTCAAATGTTGCTTTTCGTTGTATAGTTTTCTAGTGTAGTGCTATCATCAGATGCATTGATATTATAATCATTGTCAATTAATATTAATTAAGCAATAGTGGGGGGGGGGGGGACTATCAGACGTATATTAAATATTGCAGTTCAGCAATTAAACAGTAAATAACTTAGCATTCAAGCTGCGTTGCACAATACTCAACGAAATGATCAAACGCGCCCTCGTAAAATGTGAACAGGCTCAATGTGGATTGCCGGTCAAGGTAGATATCCCATGACTTGCTGCGCCTTTGTTGAACAGTGATGTCTAACCCTTTAAGTAAGCATGCTCATATAATGAAGAAGGGCCCGTTAGCGAGCTGCTGATGTAGTGCTGGACCGTCCGTTTCGTGTTATGTTTTTTTTGGTGTTGAACCCTAATGTTTAAAGACGGCATGGAATTCGTGCCAGGATCCACCTTCTGGTGAAGTGCTTTGCAGCCCAGGCTTGGCTGGCCAGGGCTTTTGGCGTCCTCATGTTTTTGAGACCCCCCCCCTCCCCCCAAGGGGCTGCAAGATGATATCCCCTTGATGAGCACAAGCCCTGAGTAGTGTCGCAAGGACCCCACCCTCCCGATGATAAGTCGACATCCACCACTCCCCCAGCCTTATCCTCACCCACATCCCAACCCCTCCCATTTCCCCCCCCCCCACCTCCTCCGCCACCAGCCCGTGCATTGGCGTCAACCCTCAATACCCTGAGCATGAAGCCACAAGCACCGCTGACGTCCGCTCTCAGCGAGTGACGCACGCGTCGTGAACAGAGGTGAGTGGTGCGAGTGTGTCCAGCCACGTGGCTGTGTGCGGTATCATCCTCTTGACACGTTTCGGTCTGCCGAGGGCTCAGACTTTAGATTATCCGTTGATGTATTTTATCCTCTGTGCATGAAACAATTGTGGACGAGCACATGCCTTTCTCTCAATTCAACTGTACAGAGTCTCCCTCTCTCTCTCTCTTCAAGACACATGCAGCAGTCTTTTAAAGAACGCGCCCTATGTCGGCAATTTTGGTCCCCTGGGATGGGAGTGAAGAAAAGACCCATCCAATACAGCAATTAGCATGTGCCCTGCCTGGGCTTGGGTTGCACAAAGTGCAGCGACCTGTGACCTTTAGCGAAGTCACTGGCGGTGTGCATAGGCTGTTGCAGTCTACATCTTTATATGCAATGCCCTGTGGGCTGTGTGCCCGCTTAAGCTGATTTGGCTGCCTCTTAGGGTGGGGTGAGTGTGGCTTGATAGGTTGGTTCGGGAAGGTGTTGGCTAAGTATAATCTGTGATTTTGCATGAACTGGCCTGTACAGCTATACAAAGCCCCTATGTGTCCTGGGACCCTTGCAATTTGCTGTCATGAATATTGAATTTCTAAGTTAAATTAGCTGAAAAAAGAGTGATGAACACATTATAAATAAACTACGATGAATTGCAATAGATACATGTGAAAATAATTTATATATATATTTTACTTTGACCATTCAATGCACTGGACTAAATTTGAAAAATATCCAGGGTATTATTCACATATTGCTAAAAACAATGCTAATGGAGGTAGCACTGCGACGACTGAAAGAGCATTCAACAAAGCTTATAACAATTCTTAATAAGGAAACGTGAAATCTCAGCAAAGTGGTGTTTTTTCTGCAATTATCGCAACAAAACCATTACTGAAGCTATGCTAATCTTGACAAGCTGGTATTTAAGTGCATATTAACTCTGTATAAATGCACTTGAGTGTGTTTGTCATTCTTGGGATAGGAACTGCCATCTTGCCCTCGTGGTTGACACTTATCTTGACAGAGGCCCCTGACAACAAAAACCGTCCAGTGGATTTATTTTTCAGGGACAGATTAAAAACTCGGTTTGTGTTTTTTTAGTCACGCATGACTGTGGTCGGGCTTGTGCTTGCAGCGACGCCTATTATGGGCTGCGGTGTGAGTTGTACAGGCAACTTGAAGAATTCCAATAGGGTTCAAAATAAGGAGGTGACTGAGTGGCTCAAGGGAGGGTGGCGAAGACCCACATCAGACTGAGCTTCGGCTCTGAGTGACCGCTTGGAGTTAAAGGGTCACTTTTTTGTGGTGACTGCATAAATACCAAGATGGATGACTGTAACTAATTTGGTTTGCACTTCACTCTGAAAAGACATTAATTGGTAATAGCTGCACAGTGAACTGGGCAATTTTCTGCTCAGCTGAAAAGCCCTCTCAGTGAATGCAGCTAAAACGAGTGAATGGATAATTTACACGGATATATGTCTTGGTGGGACTGTGGCCTTTTTGAGACGTGGTAGCTCTGGTGGATGTTGGAGTCAGCAGATATCCTTTAAAGAGTTGGCGTGCACAGAATAGCTTTGATGCGTTAAGGATGTACCACCCATTAAAAACACAGTGGTGCTTTGAGAATTATATATAATCGCCATCATCGTAATGATACACAATTCACAACACAGACATCATTTGTGAAACATCCAAACTATGTAAGGTCTATAAGTGTAACCTTTAGAATAACGTTAATATGCAACATTCCAAATATCAATAGAGTGAAACAAATATAATCTGAGCATTATAAACAGAACCAGCAATAACGTATGTATACTGTAATGGCCATTGTCTCATTGGGTCACGGCGTAGCCAGTGCGTTAGTCTCACAACTCAGAAAATGTGGGGTTCAAATCCTGACGCGGGATCGACTCAGTCATCCACAATCCCCCTCTTCTGGAAGTCGACTGCGATTGTCCTCACAATAGTAATGTCAAATTTGGCGCACTGGCTCATGGCCATGAGCAGAAAACACATTCCTGCGGAGGGAGCTGGTAGGAACGTTGGGTTGCTCGGTCAATGGCCAGGGTCAACGGCAGGCGTGGTGTATTCCGCAAATATGCCCGACTGTGAGGGCGGGCACAGGCCGGCGTGAGTAGGTTAAACGTTGAGTTTTATAAGGGCACCACGGGGTGACCAGCCCCTCCCCACCCAGCCCCACCCCTCCCTCCCACCCCCCACCCAGCCCCACCCTCCCCACCCAGCCCCTCCCCACCCTCCCCTCCCCACCCAGCCCCTCCCCACCCAGCCCCTCCCCACCCTCCCCTCTCCACCCAGTCCCACCCCTCCCATTTTTGGATGCACAACGGACGGACGGACACGATAATCCCCTGTGGACTGGTGGAACCAGGTGGTTCCTACCAGTATAAGCGCTGCTCCTCTGTACCTTTTCATTTGGAGATACGTTCACTTGAGACTTATTTTTCATCCATAACAATACCTATCCTCCCCACAGTCGTGCCGTATGAGATCACGGTGTTCACGAGCGACATCCGCAACGCCGGCACCAACGCGGACGTGAGCTTGGTGCTGTACGGCCCCAACGGCGTGAGCACGCGCTCCCAGAGCCTGTGCCGCAGCAAGCGAGAGCGCCACATGTACTTTGAGCGCGGCGCCACGGACGTCTTCGTGTTGGAGGTTCGTCCACCTTGGCCCAACAGTTTCTCATTGTAGACCGCTACGGCGGAGCACTTGATCGTCATTTCAAAGTCTTTTTCTCTCACGAATGAACCTTCGAATTCGATCGGGCAGCTCTGAGGGACACGTGGCCTAGGTGTGCGTCTTGAGAGAGAAGGGCACCTAGTGTAGCTGCACATCTTTTAACACGTAACGATTCGTGTGCCTGTTGGTTGAAATTAATTCTTCCACTATTGACGCATACATGAACAGCCATTTTTACAATTAGATTATTGGCAATATAAATTGTGTGCAAATGATATCCTGAGCTAGAACCAACAAATAACACGACAAATGTGATGGTAGATAGGAGACAACCACTACTCCTAACTTGAATCACGACTGTGCATTGTGACAATTCATCGGATCTCTTGGGGGCCGTGAATCATTACGTGTGGCCACATTATCACCTCTGTCTTGGAAAAGGTCGCAGCGTCCTCGCATCGTTTCCCTATCTCCATTTAACACGTAGCAGGCTTTCGCGACCAATATTATTCATAATCAACGTTTTTGGGTTTAGATCGCCGCGTTATTTATAAATGTGTCGTAACCCTCCACCACCCGACACGGCCAATCAGTAAAAAAGTGTCACGTTGACAAAAAACAAATAGTTCACTGCTTTAGCCCACCAGTGTGTTGAAGCGTGAAACCACAACATTTACTATTTTTGAGTACGACGTTTCGCTGGTAATTACATCCAGTATCATCGGGCAATTCGCCAGAATGGTGAGGCTCTGCTCTGGCTCCCGGTCTTATATAGAGCAGCAGCAGCAGCAGGGTGGCGTCATCTTTAACTCATCAACTATCTCAAGCCGACGAGCCCCTTGCTCGCTACTTAGCAGGCGACGTGGATGCGTGTCGGGGAGCGAGCGTGGAATCTGCGCTATCTCTCACGCTCTGCTCACGTGCCACAGAAAACCAGCTGTTCCACGCGATCCTCTCGCATCAACGCGCCTTTCTGCCGGGATGGGACAACTGCCAGGCGCTCGAACAATGGTTGGTTGTCTTGTAAGTCACAAGTGTCCCATGCATTTCGGCAGATAACGCCCGCCGTTCGACAAATCAATTTATACCGTTTGTGATTTGACGACGGATATTTTGACGAAATTATTTTTGCATCTCAAATGATTCATGTAATCACAGAAATGCAATATGCTGAAGACTAAAAGATGGTACAGGTATTGTATTTACAGTTTATATGTGGTTGTTGGCTAAAAAAAATCTCATTGCGATAATTCATGCAGAAAAGAAATAACATTTGACTTGTTATTACAGTTTGTACTTTAGGCGTAAAATTGTCCGCTGTTTTAAATTCGTACTTGAAAGTGTATGGAATGAAAGTTTGCATGAACGTGTAGTACAGTCGTTGAAATTAGTCTAGAAGTGTGGAGGATGGCGGACGTGACTGCAAGGCATATTCACTCCACTACCATGGCACAAGACTTGCAGGCTGATTTATGTGTTTGCAAAAATAAATTCTTCCATATTTGGTTATTTTAAACGGCCACTTAGGAAGAAAATTATATTGATTTATCTATTTTTATCACCATACATGTATATTGTCAGGGACTCCAATTTCTGCCAATCCTTGAATAAGGCTCTCGGCATTTATATCACTGGAGAGAAACTTCACACGTTGAAAACAAAAATCGATCAGAGTAAATATCAGTTTGTCCTCCCACTGTATCACCATCTCAGTATCTCAGTATCACCAATCCACGTTAAAGCTCCTTGTGCTTTATAACGGGGGAGGGGGGGGGAGGCCAAAGTAAATATGACAGTTGCATTCAGTTAAGTCACACCTGCTACGAGCCTTTGGCTCACTCATCTAGAAATGCCTTTGCTTCAGCTCTGGCTGGCGGATGAGGACTCTCTGCCCCTGGCACGCTGGCACAGCAGCAGTCGCGCCATGGTCGGTGGCACTGTGCCCTCTTGTTTGGCCGCACACAATAAGCTCCCTATTCGCAGAGGACAGGGCAGCACCCCACTGAGCTGGACGCAAATCAACAGAACGGAAGCAGGCCGAGTCCCGTTAGAAGCAGCGGCGGCGTGCTCGGAATACGGAGTGATGCGGGTAAGGTGAGCGAGCGAGCGAGCGAGCGCTGTGTCATTCGTGCACTTTTAGCCGTCCAGAATTCAGGCTGAGAGGAGGGCCAGTGATTGAACTTGAATTTACATCTTCATGCGTGAAGAGTGGGTGTGGGTGTTGGTTTTTTGACGTAAAACAGGGCAGTTCATTAATGATGTTGGGCCGATTGCCTTTTCTGTTTGTAATAATAATAAAAACGGGTAAAGGAGGGTGTTTTATGGATTATTGCGTCGTAAGACTGTGAAGAGATGGTGCCGGCTTGGAGAGGCCTGCATCCAGGAATGGTCAGATCATGGCTGATGATACCGTTGCTGAAAGAGGGTTTATTCAGTGAAATAAAAAAAATATTGCAAGATTATCACCCATAGGACCCTCAATACAGACCAACGTATCACAATATCATTTCTTTAGACAAGGCAATCCTAATCTGGTCGTGATGCCAATTAATCTCATCAGTGTGGCGTTAGCCTGCTGAATCAATGATGATGTGTAGTTAGAGGCAGCAACCAACCACGAGAATATACGGAGCTGAGAAATGTGGTGCCTATCAGTATTTCCACGAGTTGTCTCTTGTAATCAACATTAAAAACGTGTTGCTAAAAGTCGTAATAATGGTGTTGTGACAGTGTGTCTGCTGAACTGAAGATCTGGCGAACTAATCATGTCATCCATGTGCTTTAAATATCCTGGCTCACCGGTGACATATGTTAGTCGTAAGTGTGCGTCAGACCTTAATTCAATGTTGTATCATCTCACATTTGAATCCTTGTGACATAGCGTCCTGGCTTTGGTATTTATAGCTTCTACAAGTCGGACCATTGGTATTGGCCTTGTGCTTTTCCCGTAAACGGTGGCAATTCTTCAAACGATGAAGGCTGGGCTTGACCTGCTTCGCAATTATTCGTAGCTAGGATGGTGTGAGAATGCCATGCCAAGTGCTGCATGCTGCCAGCCTTATTCACCTAGCCAAGATTTGAACTCCTTAACCGAACCCAGATTTGTAAGGTAAGTACGACACTGTATGTGGTTTTCATATAGACACTTAAATGTATTACTACTCTACTAGCTTGTTGTCCTTCCCCCGCGCCTCCGCTTTGCTACGTACAGTGCAAAATAAGTCCAACATACATTTACAAATGGTTAAGTGAGAACAGTCTCTTTAAAGCCATTTAACTGGAGTTAAAAGATCACCTTTCATGTACTTAACCATTCCATTATTCAAAAGTTAAACACCGCAAATGTATTGTTTCTAATTTACAGTGTGGATTATTACTTGTAATTATTCATACATTTTTACCTTAGATGGCATAAGACTATCCCAGAAGTCATGACCAAACATCTCATGAATCGGGAAATCGGCAAGGAAATTTAACTTACGCCTACGAACTGATTAAGCTAAAAAATATTTTTTATAAATACATACTAATAGTTTGAACAAATAATTACAAAAATAAATTATGTGCAAAAAAGCTGATGGGAGTGTTTCCATTTCCTTCAAAAATGTCGACGAATAGTTTATTTATTAAACATTGCCACACTTCCACGTGTGCACGTCAAAAATGGGCACCATTTTTAAATCCTTTATATTAAGTTCGCTTGCTTGCTTACGACCGTGCAAATCTTTCGGTCGTTTTTTAACCCACTTCCCGTGATCCAATCGAGCTGACATTTTTCACACAGACTCGTTGTGCGTGACAATTAATGTTCGTGCAAATTTGTTTCAAAAATTTTACACTTTTTAGGAAAAAAATATTATATTTAATTACCAATTGCTTAATGGTGCAATGCAATCATCTGACCCATAGGTGGCAGCCATCTCAAGCCAGAGGACGAGAGGACTCTAGCCGCCACGCATATAAAGGATTTATAGTGAAAAACTTTGTTTTTACGGGTTATACTTGTTCTTTCTTTGCCACGGCGTCACCACGACAACCCTGTCGATCACATAGGACCTCGCGCAGCCAGTCACGGCTCTGTGGCACGTGTAACGAGAAATAGCGTCATCATGATTTTGAACATACTTGAGTTTCAGATCCAAGCCAAACTTCATTTCCCCTGTGGTGCGGGTCACGTTCCACTTTCCAAGAAGGCTATAAACATCACTTACTGTAAGCAACGTTAGTGCAGAAAAGCTGCGTCATCTTAACATTACAGTATATTTGTTGTGCTTTAAAGTGTATGGTCAGTAAGCAACGTGTGTGGAAATGCTCATTTAAATGCGGTACCGTACTCTGTATTCTACAAAAGGGGCCGTCCATAAATGACGTCACGCACCTGGGGGGGGGGGGGGGTCAGACATTTGTGACGATGTGTGACGAGGCGGGGGGGGGGGGGGTTTGAGAAATGTGACGTCACATCAAAATGCGCAACTTTAAATAAATATAGACAACACGTTCTACTTACTTAAATAGACTTTTTAATAAATGTTTTCTCCTACAACATCAGAGTGCAGCGCCACATTAAATACGAACTACAATGACAATAGTTTAAAGCGATTTGAAGTGTGTTTTATTTGGGGGGGGGGGGGGGCAGAGCTTTGTGACGTCATATTTGAGGGGGGGGTCTGACTTTTTGTGACGCCGTGTGACGAGGGGGAGGGGGGTCAAAAATCGTCCAAAATCGCGTGACGTCATTTATGGACGGCCCCAAAGGCGCTGCTGTATTTAAGGGTTATCTCTAGAGATTGCTCGGTAGTTCCGAGGTGACGGTACCACGTAGTTACCAAAGAGTGCACAATTTGGTTTTGCACTGATTTGGTAATATTCTCGGACTGATCATTTAAATATCTCAATTTAA